CAGACTGCCAAGGAGTCAGCCAAGAGGACGTCGGACGATGGGAATGCAGACATTGCACTGTCATCTAGAATTCATTTTATTAGGAGACTTTCACAATCCTCAACTTATTCATCGGAATTGTAAAATCGTCAAAATGAGATCATCATGTACGTTAGCTTTTGAAATTGCATGACGTAGCTGCTTTACAGTTTGACGTTCATTAAGTGGCCCAATAGTGCAAGTTGTAAACTTTGCATTCCCAGTCGACTGGGATTGCGCCTTGAATGAGGATTTCACTAGACCTTCCGTTGCAATACCGAGTCGTTTAAAGTGGGCCTCGTAAGCTAGAGACGAGAGTGCAATTTTAACGCCGACGTGATCCCAGAGCGGGAATGGACATCTCTCTTTGTCTCCCTCTACATTGCGTCCCCTGCATTGTGCATTGAGATGCCAGTTAAGTGAGAGGCAGACGAAAGCAATGCCGAGGTTATACTCATTTACACCTAACTCTACGCCAATTTATGTCTAAGTCTTCTATTTCATTACTGCCATAAAAGTATAAACGCACCAACCTTGCTTAACAAAGTTGAAATTTTGCGATTAATCGACAGCACCCCAATGTGGCCACAAAGCAGGCGGTTTTTTTAAACAAACTGCAAGCATTGGCACATCGACGTGCTTGCAGGTGTTTGCTTGCGTACATGCATCAAGGACACAAGAAAGAAACGAGAAAGGTGTACAAGTTGTTGCCATTTCTGCACACACAAATGCACCGGTGGCTCTGCCTAATTCACTTTGCCTTTCATAGGACATTAACTGGAGGTAGATATACAAGACTCCACTGAACACACAATTATCAAACAATTTATCATCCCTTGTCCGTTAAAAAGTAGAAAAAAAAAATAATAAACTCGAGGAAATACAGCATGGTAGCATTTCTAGTCACATCTGACAGATGTTTAAAAAATGTCGCCTTAGTGCTGATAAGTCTTACCTCTTGACTGGAAGGATAAGGTGTTTGCATACGATCTACCCTTTTTAATAAAAAAAAACCACAGGACGTTTACTCTTTGAAAGCAACGGATTTGTTACAGCTGTGCTCAAAATGAGGTGTAACACGTTGTTGTTAGACTAGCTGTGCAAATTGAGAGCCCTTTGGGCGGACCTATTACTCCTGTGGGAGGGACTTGTCACCATACCATGTCAAAAGCCTCATCTCTTTCCTTTCTGACTGAATTTGCATACATTTTAGCTGCTACAAAGAGATGCCCAAAATCCCAACCTAATTCATTAGTACTCGGTACTCCCTTTGCCTAGCTCAATGACATCCTATTGACGTAAGCATGAAATTCTAACACAGGATGTAGGCAGAAGGCGTTAAGCATACCTTTATAACTCGAGGTCTTCCTCTCCAGATCCTTCATAATATTGTTGGATATGAGAGGCAGATTGAAATAGAGGACCCGCACTTGACTCAGGCTTTCAATAAGCACAAACTTGTTGAATCGAGTCTCCAAAACCACCTGAATATCCGGATGTTTCCGAGCGTACTCTCGAACCATTGCTTTTATGCTGTCCAGCATATTTGTGCAGGACAGAGCTTGACAATCTCGAACCCACGCCTACAAATAGGGAGTTGAGTAATCATGAAATATTTTAGCATAATAATTCTACCATTCTCTGAACTCCAAGCCAATTTAATATCTTTCAACAACTTTATTGCTTAACATACGGTGAAAGCAATGGTCGAAGGCAGAGTGCTTGGCAGGCATAACTTCCAGCTGAAAATTCCCAACTCCAACTAAAGGTGCAGGACAAAGTCCCTTTTTAGACACCATTTCAGCCATCAATAGTGTCAGTAGAAGATTACTAATAAACGAATTCCGCCGTCAATGCAACTACATCCAAGACGAAGTGGATGGCGCTTTCCCAGCTAACATAATATTGCAGTCCTTTTTGACCCACAAAGTGTGGGATGGATAAAAGTGCTCTTCCACCTGTATATGGGCTCATGCGCTCGTAAACCCTCCCCCCCCAAAAGACCAAGAATATATTCAGTAGAGGGATTGTGAGAAAACGACCGCTAGAAGTTTGCGGCACCTATTCAAAATGTCACTTATTCTAAATGTCATTGAAAAGTTTACGCAATAGTTTGGACCCCATTTGTTATGTGATGTGGGCACTAAACGCCTTTCGCAGATCACCCGCGATCCAACTGACCTCAGGAACGTTGAATAGGAAAAAAATAGTGCATTTTGGCTGATTGTGTTCACATTTTTGTAATCCATTTTTTGACTCTCTAATTCGACGGACGTGGGCCAAATTTTACCGCTCACGTGTAGAGCATTTGAAATTCTTTATGACTTACTTGAAATTTGAGCTCTGCTGTCAGGACATACTGCAGCAGTTAAAATCAACCATGAAAATTGTTTCCCTAATAGAACAAACCAAAATGCCTTATTTGAAGTGGCAGACACAAACTGAACTGAGGAGTAGTTGGGCGTATGTTACAACACAATCCTATTTCGCCCGAAGTGTCTGTTGCCTGCCCACCCTTTGTATCTCAGTGAGCGCGCATGGAAGTGTACCTTTAGCCTGGAGAGGCGTCACATCAGCAACACATGTAAAGACTTGCTGAATAATAAGTGGAAAAGGACAGCACATCATTCAGCACTGTTCCATTCTGAATAACGTTCTTCTTAATCAGTCATGGCGGATTACCTTGAGATTAGCCTCGTCGTCTTTGGACAACCAAGCCAATACCGCCTCAGCCATTTTGCCGTAGCCCTGAGGTTCAACAGTTTGTTCAATGGCATGAACAAGGCTACGAAAGAGTCGAATGAGACGGGGGATTCTATCCAACGCCATGAGATCAGCCAGACGCTGGTGTTCCTTGGGCCAACGCCGAAGCAGGAGGTATTCGAACTGCTTTAAGTAGCAAACCATATAACGCACCTTCTGATGAAACTCCAACAGAACCAGGGTCCGCACGTGGTCCTGAATGCGCGGGCCCTATTTCGGACGGGAATAAAAGGTGCATCATTCTACTAAACAAACACATTGATAAGAGTATGGATGAAGCTTCAGCAGCCCAAAATGCAGAGGTTTAGACGGCTGCATATTGATGCTATTAAACAAACGCAGAGACTAGACGACTTAGAGGGTAAGGCTCTATAACAAGCAGTAGTCAAGTAAAGTTTCAAACTAAAAGCAATTTTTTTCGCTTTTAAATGCAATTGTAGTCTGTGAATGGCGAGAATTGTGAACAGTTCAGTACAATCTTTGAGATCATTACAATTGTTAGCATTAGCATCGACACCCAATCCATCATAAATTGTTCCACGATAATGTTGGGTGGATGCAAGGCTAATTGAGCCTTATGATAATATCTAGGCAAATATTGTTCCTGAAAAGCTGTTGCACTGTGAAAGTTGAAGGACATCCACACAGTTTGTCCTTCTTTTATGAAAACGCAACTGAATGTTGAAGCAACTGTAAGCTTCATACGCATACCTTTGTGGGAATCTCGTAATTTGGAAAGTGGATTCGCAGTTCGGTCGCAGCCTCAAAGCTCTCTGAAACATCCATTTCAGGATCTTCAGTCCACGTTGGAAGGAGTTCAGGGACATTGGCAGCCGCGGATGTCACCGTCGAAGAGGAGGAATTTGGAGATGCGATGGAGCGTTTTAGTTCATGGTCAACCAAAATCGGTAACTGCATCAAGGAGGTAGTGCTAAAATGTGATATAGTCACCATAAAAACTGGATGCAAACATCCATTTGGTGGGCCTTAGATAAATTTAAGGTCTGTTACTCCACTGCGAACCAAAATCCCCTCTTTCTCAAATGTGAATGCAAAGTAGTCGGATTGGGTGTGCAGACTCGATCCCTGCATTGGCTGAACCTAGGGCACTCAAGCGTCGTAAGGTGGACATTTGACCAACAAAGCTGCGTTGACTATAACTGTATGACAACCTGTTTTACCATAGAGTTAACTTAGCGACAGTTAATCAACATCCAGTGTGACAGCATTCCCGGAGTGGAAATTTATGGGATATAAGACGGCACCTTTTCCAGTGAAATAATTAGTTAATCTGGAGAAGTGGCCATCTGACCGACGGTTCAAGTGTAAAAGTTGGGTAAAGTGGTTTCCTCACGTCAGCAAAATGCATTTTAGGTGAGGGCATCCCACATCCCTTGTGAGCTGTGCGGTGGCCCCCACGCAGGTTGGGTGGATTGGCAGACAGACAGATAGACTATTTTTCCCTTTTTTGGAAAAGGTGTATTGCAATCTACTTCTTTGCTCCAACGTCGTTGATAAACCGGACACGAAGCAAAAGGGCTTGGTTAAAGTTGGCTTTTGGTAAACAATGAGAATTCGCTCGAGTTCCCGTTAAACCAATGCATGATTTCAAAATCTATAAGGCTTGGAAACTGATGCAGCATTCTAAACCACCATTCCGTGAATTTAAGAGACAATCAAACTAAAAATAAAAAAGAACTTTGTCACCTTTTGGTAAAGCAAAAATTCCTTTAATTATAGAACACGGATCTTAAAGAGGAGCTTAAACATGAGGGACTGATAACTTTCGTTTAAACATGAAATCGAAACTAAGACGATGGGTGAAATGTATTGGTGAATTCCAGGCCAACTTGAGCTCAAACCACAAGTCCGGGCAAAGAAATCAGTTCTAAAATTAATCTGGCCCCTACTGTCACCGTTTTCCACACCGTTATCACCTTTTGAGTCATAATGTGAGTGTCTAACATCGAGAAGGGATGCCGATTCGCAGTCTTTGTCTTGCAAGAATCGAGCATTCTTTCTACTGACTGACTAATCCACTTGATGCCAAAAATGTACTCCCACGCCTTCCTATTACATTGTGTTGCATAGAAGAGACATCTCCTTGCCATAAATGGCGTCAACCGGAACGAATGGGCATGCAGCTTCATCTACAGTCTTGGTGCCCCATAAGTGTAGAACAATTAACTCCCTTAAGGCAGTGACCACTACTATTCCATACAGGATGGGCATTCGGTGCAATTTTATGCAGTGCTTATCAAAAGTGATGAAAAATTGAAGCGTTGAAGTTTATTTTCAACTGTTAAATGGATACAAATGCAAGAGTGCTCTGACCAGTCTCCATGACTACATCATTTAGGTTGTATTTTAAGAATATTTGTTAAAATACTAATCTCAAAATGAGCTGAATGTTTATGGCATGCTGATTTCGAAGTGACTTGCCAATGGTGACACGCGCCCCTCTATTGTGGAGAAGATGGGGTCCTCTTTAAAGTGATACATCTTTGGGTCTTTCTGGGTCGGTACAACCTACTGCCCAACTTTCTTAAGCATCGGACGACATTTACTGATTCAAAACCACTCAGAGAGTTGCGATTTTAGGAAAGCTAGCATTTACACAGAGAGCCACACAAATCATTCGTTCGTTTTTATTTAGTTTCTAAAGTTTAAATTAATACTGTAATTCCGCGTTTATTTGACTACTTGTATGACTGTCGATCACTTTTGTGTTCATCTAGTGAGGCCAAGTCCAACCCCCTTCCATTTTCCTTGAATGCAGACAGTTAACCCTACTTAGTGCCTTCTACTTGATGAGAGGTCTCGGCACGTCACAACAAGTCACTTTATCTGACCTCGTGAGCAGAAGAATTACAGCCCTCAAGGTTATCATCTCAATTAGGCAAGTTATGGTGCCTGACAAACAGCGATCGAGAAACCACTTGAGCTCTTATGAACTTGTGCCATCAAAACTACCTCCAGTACGTATTCTCGAAAGGACTTGAGGGATGAGCAAACAAACCACGTGAGCAAAGTTTCACGACACCATTGTGTAGCTGTTGGCACTTCTACCTTCACGAAACAGTACTTATGTGGACAGCATAAATTCATCCACTTTTTATCTGGCTTACGATAAAAGCAGTTGCTTGTAAGTTAACACGTTTTCAACAGCACCAGAATTGTCTACCTCTTCCAAAATTTAAAAAAATGCACGTTTGTTATCAATGAAAAAATCTACTTGATTCGGAGAAACTGGTTTTAGACAATTCCATTGTCAACTACTACAAGGGTCGAGCTACTAGCAATCGAGGAGACAAAAAACAAAGTGCAACGACCCTAACTTTACTAATGTTCGTTTTGTACGAACTTTGGCATTCTCCTTGCCATTGGCGACGTAGGCTGGCCTTCGGACTAGGGAGAAGCCCAACCTCGTCCCCTTCGCCCTGAATACAAGCATTCAGCCTTACCATATGCCTACTTCTACCTGATTTGGAATCTCGAGATGTTACAACTTACTCTTAGATAAATAATCACACTACCAGCGTGTCAACAAAGCCGAAACTAAGTTAAAAGCATTGAGCATGTCAAATGCTCACTAGCACTTGCAATTTCATCGACAAAAGGAATTGTAGAGATCAAAGTATATAACACGCAGTGTCGGTCACGGCTTAATGCACATGGAAGTGCCAGTGGAAAAGACAATGCTCTTTAAGCTCAACACATACTACCATAAACGAGAGTCTTTGGTGAAAACGATTTCCTCAATTCCATTAAGCAGGCTGTGTAAAATGTCAAAGGTATTCACTCCACGGTGGATTTACACAATTCACACAAACTCAAAGTCGACATTGTGAAAAGGGAATGAATTTGCTAGGCAACTTTTCTCAAATCCCAGTACCGTGTTTGTGAATTGATAGTGGGTTAGTTTCCTTCTTGCTTTCGCCCAGACCAGATAGAAGGCATTCTGTACTTTTAGACTGTGGAAAGTAGCAGTGAAATATGCTAGCTGTGCGGTGCAGTTTTTTCAAAACAGAATTTATTTTGATAGTAATTTTGAAGTAAAGTAGACAGTGCATAGCTTTAATCCGGGCAGATGTCATTTCAAGGGATTATGGTGGAACAGTGGTACAAGAGAATAAATAGCAATTAATTTTGGACATAAATTTACTGCGCAAAAATGTTAAAATGAATAGCAAGTGTATTAAAAGTAAATTTTATCCACTTTAATGACAGACAAATCAACTAGACATTGTTCAAACGTCATTAAGCATTCTTTTCAAAGAAGAGTAGCACCATTCGTGTCCAAGACTGGAACAATGTAAAAACAAGCATCCGAATACTAAACTAAAAACGCATAAGTGTAATCAAACAAGAGCCCGAACTTAGTCATGCATATCTAATACATGGTGGTTGTTAAAATGTAGCCTGTGGGTGAGAGGCGACCATTCCATTCGAACACCATGATTGAGAAGCCAACCGACTCGACTACTGGACCGGAAGAGACACCCCATTTTCTCCTCCTCCTCCTCCTCCTCCTGCACTAGTCTCCTAATCTCTATCCCGATGCCAAGTGAAGCTCCTATGGGTAAACAGGCACGTGGTGGACGTCCATCTGTCGACTTCTCAACCTGCTTGCGTGGTTAGCTTCCACTCCTGATGTACTGAGATGGTGCCAATGAGAGACTCAGAAAGTGTTTGGCGGGAGATGCATTTCATGTCTGTCTCTTGACCCGCCGTGGGACCGCCACAAGGAGGTCAGCGCTCTGAGCTCATCTCACTTTCACAGCCATCAGCACAAAAACTGCAAAACGTGTAGGTGTAAGCTTATGCCTCTACCACTGTGGATTGAGCGAATCAACGAAAAACTACTAATTTGTAATCGCAGACGAAAACAACAGCGTATCGCAGCAGTAGAGGTACTGCTGTAATGATAGCATCATTCGTTGCTTCTTGTGATTGAGGAGTAAACAGAAGAAAGTGGTTCTCCAATACTCTGCCACTATCAAATTGGTTGATCAAATTATATAAGGAAAATAGCTAGTTTACCTTGAAAAGTTTCAATGTAATATAGTAACACGGACAGGGTTTGCGCACTTGTATTAAAATAATGCTCGAATTGGAGAGGTTAGAGTCGCGATTTCATATTCTTGAATGAAAGTACTCCAGACCAATCACACATGGGGACAAAGTTGCTTCTACAATTGCGCATGCCTCATGGCGCCTTCACGAGGTAGTACAAAGGCGCCACCGCATAAAAATTTGCAAACTAAGGACAATTAAGACATTTGTGTGAAAAATAGAACAAATCTGCCTAAGTTTTCCGATTGAAATGCAAAATAACATTATTGAAGGCGTGGAAAAGTCGTGGATCTACTGTGCTTTGAGGTTAGCAGATACTTGGAGGAAATCAGTTTGCTAAAGTAGACGCAAAAAATATACGCAAATCCACTAAGCCACTATCAGTATTTCATAAAAATTCTTCGTCGAATTCGCAATAGGTGGTAATATGATACAATGCTAGGCCCATGAAGTAGTTGCATTAAGCAGAATTTTGGTATGATGAAAAAATTCCTTTCGGCAAGGGAGAAGCATGGAAAGGAAACTGTACTTACTGCTTTGAAAGTGCCACGCCCGTTCCGCCATAAGAATGGTTATCAAGTTTCTGTTTCACATTTCGAACGTAGCCTGTGTGTTAAAAGGGGACAAAACAATTTAAAAAAAATTAATGTCATATAACAATCCACACACTTTTTTTTGTTGGTAAAGCGGTAGTTAATTATGCAGACAAATGCAGCAGTATGAAGCAAATTTACGCGCTTTTATAGAAGTTCTACACTGTTAAGATTAGAAGTCAAATTAGCCAACAAAAAAAGGAGTATTGGCGTCAAAATAGGAATGAATCCATCTGGAAGCCTCTTTTTGTATGCGAAATCGGTCATTTGCTCCGTTGATGTGTGGAGGTACAATGTCGGACAAATAGGTGGATAAATAATGTGATAAAAATGGGATTGGCTTGTAAGTGACAATCGGTGGTCATTCCGTTCGTTTAAGTTCTACCAATGGGAAAAAAAATTCTAACAACTGGTTGCATTTTGTGGTGTGAAGTCCAGAGGCGACCACGCAGACCATGATACAACCACTGACTTAAGAGAAGTACAAACTGCACTGGGGAGAGAAAATCTTTGCCTTACAATTGGTGGTGAACTTGAGAGGTCGACTTTGTCGCAATGCGAACATTTACTGGAAAGGTGGTCGCGCTGAGGAGGGTGGACTCCATTTGTTTGAAGCCTGATTTCACGAATTAAGACAATCAATGGGCATTTCATTTCATTTAACAACTAATCAAGTAAATAATTGGATTGAAAAGGATTCTGCATATTCAGTTGAAGCAAAATAAATCTTTAATTGCAGGCACACTGACTCAAAGAACACATAAAATGGAAAAGGGGTAAAAAGGAGAGGCTTTTAAGGTTGATTATTTAACAAACGTTTAAGAGGTTAAAAAATAGGGACAGGGTGAGATAGGTGACCCATCTAACCATTCTAAAGTTCACCATAAAAATAAACTCCTTTGATAGGTTAGAGGATGCCTCACTAGATGATGGGACGCTGAGCTTCAAAGATGAGGAGAGATGAGGAGAGGCCACTAGAAACTTTTGGATTTGCATTTACTAAAGCCTGCATTACATTTGCCCTGCTATGGCAGTTGTGAATCACAGAGACACACACGCATACACACCGATAAAGCAAATTAGTCGCCACTCAGACGAAGTGCTTGCAATCTTTCGTAAGAAATGCAAAAGTATCATAAGACTCAGGTCAAATAGAGGATATCTGCGCAGAAATCGAGCTGTAAATGTGAAAATAAGAATGCCTAGAGCACCAGGTGCCCGTACCAGATGGCAGGATCGCATGCGTCTTCCCCACCGCCGAACACATGGCTTTTGTGAACAGAGAACCATCCTGCATCAGATGTACTGGATTCATTAAATGCTTTCCCACATCGAGGTATATGTTTGAAGTTTACGTGTTTACTGATTCACAGTCTCAGCACGCGAAATCCCCTATGACACACGGAGGCGGTGTGGGCGTTAGGCAGTAAATACAATACACCCACTAGTGGTATTTACCGGTAAGACTGAGTGTACTAGAAAAGAACCTCTTTCGTAATGAAACGCTCTTCCGCGTGACTTGGCTAGACGAACGCATGAGGTAGAATGAGGACCTGGGCACATCGGAAAGGCCTGCCTCCATAATGATATTAGTTGTGAGGCAAAAGGAAGTTATAATTACCAAGGTTATGGTCATTTTGATCCAGCAGTTATGAAGGAATGAGACAGTAGGAAGGCAAAATTAACCATTGTAGGGATGCAAAGGGAAGCAACGAAAGAGCGGGATCATGGAAGGAAAAGGGGAAAAAAGACGGTGAATTACTAATGGTTATAAATACGATTGAATTCATTGCTCACTGACTCTCTCATTGAAAGTAGTGTGAAAATATTACACATTTTGAAAGTCACTACGACGCCTAAAATTGGTTGCCTTTACTTTTGAAGGATTTTACTTTCATCTCATAATTTGGTTGTCTTAAAATTAATTGACTTTTGCATAAGCAAAATAGTGGACAGAGGCACTTCTGATGAGAGCATACAAAATGCTCCGAATTTTTAGTCTTAAAGACCACTAGACTGCAACCCAGATGGATTATTTTAACGAGCGACCTTGACCTAATGACCTCCAAATAACAGCTGCATCTCACAGCTCTGGCATCTTATTATCACCAAACAGAGCCCTAAAATTCTTCAACAATAAATGAGATTGAGGTAGGCAATGGGAAAATGGTGATTAATGAATGTGGGAATTTAAAAACGTTGGGCTAAACTAAATAAATGAGCGTACGTGAAATGGGCTCAGGTGAGGTAAGACCAGTCTGTGAAGTACCCCGATTTGCGTGAACAAAACCAGAATTGCTCCGCTTCACCTTGACCTCGGGTCCGACAACTGACGAGGCGACTGTGTCAGGAGGTGGGACGGAGGAGGTCTGAAGGGGTGAGCAAGGGGCACTCTTGTCAATCAGCTCATTGAAGCTACCACTGCGACAGTTAAGCATGTCCTCCGTAGAAGTCGCCAAACCCGAGGAGCCACCACTATCTTCGCGACCGCCACCTGTGCCTCCTGTTTCCTCCATGGAGCTAGTACACCTCCCAGCTTCAAAAGAACAGATGTGTCGAGCAGTGAACGGTGATAAATAAATTTAGGCGAGGTTATAACGCAGTGTTCAAGCCAGGTCAGCAATTCAGTGTGTATGCAACTGCGTTAAGGGACAAAATGCAACAACGTATGGAGCAACAATAAACTCAGCACCTACTCCATGAAAATCCGTGATTAGCTAAGAATTGTGACCTATAAAACTACTCGGTATGCGAATCAAATTTTGTTACCACATTTGCGTTACCTTTTCCGCCAGTTGCTGAGACAAGTAGCCGAAATGAAACAGCAATTAACTCGGAGCCATTTCAGAATTTTACTACACTCAAACGTGTAAAATCAAAGAACAGCAGTGCGGTGCTATAAAAGAACAAGGGTGATGCCAACGAGACAAAAATTGCTTTCTAAAATTCATCCCACTGACCACATGACAATGACCCAAATCTCATTCCTTGCTACAGTGTTCTTTGCAAAACAACACAGTTCACGTCCAAACTACACACAAAAATGAAGCAAACGTTGAGGTAGGAATATTCTTAATCAAGGGAGTAGCAGATCGGATTGCTGAGAATCGTGAATGTGTGGCTGATGAGATTCAACATGCAACAATCATTCACTCTGTAGATATGGGGAGGCTACTGCTAAGGTGGGTGGAGTGTGAGGTACTGTTAGGGTGAATCAGCCTACCGAAAATGGGTTTTTCCTTATGATGCGAGGCCACTACAACGGACTCCGCTACGACCACTGCCCTCAAGCTTGGTCGGTGCGGCGGCTTGCGCTTTCTCACGTTCCAACTATTGAAGGCACGGGATCCTTTATAACCATAGAAGACGGTTAAGCATGTCAGCCCGAGAAACCCCATTCAACTCATTAAAATAGATCTGATTTATCCTCCACGAACGAGTCTGCCTCTCTTTCAGAGGAGATGGCATAAAAGCTTGACAGAGTAGTTTTGTTTCACTAATGGTCAGAGCCAACCGCATGTATCCAGTTTGATGAAAATAAGTTCACGGTTCGGGAATTAGCCTGCGAATGCCCACAAACACCTCTCACTGCGAATGGCCGAAAATAAAGTTGTCCCCGAAGTTTGGTTAACAAAGTGGCAGAAACTTTGCGCAACCGAAATAAAGCAATCTGGATTGTGTAAAGGTAGAGGAATGACGACGGCTCCGATGGAAAGGTAGCGGTACAGCGGTGGTGAGTGTGATCTTTTCATTTTGATATGAAAATGATGAAAGTGATATCACCGTGCTAAGTGAGTCGGTACAGACTACTTTGCCGCCGAACAACAAAAAACGATACAAAATCCTTTTCGCTTTCGCCTCACTCATGTAAATCCTAAATCCGTATTCCCAAAACGCTATTGAAAACAGTAAAGTCCATAAATTCAACAAAAAGTATTGAATAGCTTTGGATCAACATGAGTGTAGATGTATCTGAGAGAGCAATTTTTATTTTAAATGGCCTAACACACATATATTTGGGCTAAAGAAGTTGATCAACACATATTTTCGTCCTGAAAACCATAAATGGGAGGTGAGTTTATGTGCAAGGAAAGGTGCTTACCAGATGCGCTAGGGAACTCAGGTGGATAGGCTCCAGAGTTCAATGTTCCAGAACGAGGAAGGGAAGATGTAGCGACACTAGGCGACATCCCAGAGGAGGTACTCGATCCCATGTTAAAAACAGAGCCTCGATTAGCAGTGTTGAGCTTGTTGTCCTTTGTGCAGGGCTCTCGCAAACCAGCCCTGCATCGATGATGCACGCTGATGTCACAAGCTGCAGAAAGAAATACAGATCGGGTAAATTGAAAGATCAGATTCTGCAAAGATCTTGTGCCCATACGTCTTCCCTCGATGCAGGTATGAGGCAAGCAGCCAAAAGAGGTAGATTCAGTAACAAATATCC